AAATGGAGAGAGATTTTTAGGAAATTTTTACATCAGCGGATAGAGAACTGTTAGTTCTATTTTCATATTCAATAGCACGCTTATCCGATTAAAAACGGCTTAGAAATACGCAAAAGACTAAGAAACTTTGTGCAAGTGGCCGGAATTACCCCATCTGACTTTACTAGTTTTATAATCACCTTAATGATGTACTGAAGTATTACCATCAAACCGCCTTATTCAGTGAATAATTTTTACCTAATTTGTCGGTATTGCGCAACTCGTATTAGGATCAATCACTTCTCATCGAGAATCCATGTTTATCAGAAAAGTTGACTACATGCCGTATGAACGCTTGAGCTGTCTTATCAGCTGTTTTTATTCGAGATTTCGATGTCGTCGTTTTGTATTATCTATTATCTAATGTTTTATGACTTAAACGATGAAAAACTCAAGCCTTGCTTCAGAGAGTTGTATGTATATTTTCTCTTTCAGTATAGTCTAAAATAAAAGCCTTGTCTTTACTTATTCGTTCAACTTCGTGAATTTTTTCTTGTTATAAACTTATTCTTTATTTTAATAAAACCAGAATTGAACAAATGATTATTGTAGTTTAAAATGTCATTTTTTCGTATTTGGAGCTTGCGATGTTGTTGACGTTGGTCCACCATCTCCTTTGACGCCTGAGTCTTTCTGTTGAGTAGCATTACTTGTCGTATTGCTGTGTGTATTTGCAGAACCCTGTCTTCCATCATCGCTCGATGTGCCAGCCTCATCGCGACGCGTCATCTTTTCCTCGTTATTTTGCTTGGAAGACATTTCAGTTAACTTGTGAAGAAAAATTAAGAATGTACACACGTTTGTTCGTTCTGTAGTATATACTGAATATGAGTACAACAAGACAGAGAAATAGCATTTTTTTTCTTCTTCATGCACAAAGCCACCACACTGGTCCACTTTCTTTTTGACGTTCTTACAAGATTCTTGTCTGTTACCATTTTCAGACACGAATCTTTATTTATCTTAATAGAACAGGTAAAATTTTTGCTTAAATTATTTGATTTTTCTCTCTTCTATTACTCGGTAAAGTGACCACACTATATTATATATATATGAATATACACAAAATTTATTTAAACTTTCTATGATTCTTGTTGTAAAGACAATGTGTTTGTTGTCAGAAGGGCTAATCCCTCTCATATAATATAAGAAGAAAACTAGGTTATATATACATATTTTCGTTGGTATGATTCTGAAGACGACAAAAAATATCAGACATGATTCTTGGCTAAAATATGAACAAGAATCTTAAAAGGAATAGAACTAGATAGTCGACCAGTGCAAGAGGCTCAGAAACGAAAGAGAAAATACTTTTGTTAGGCAGGAAGAGATAATAAACGACTCACTACTGTACGATTAAACTATAACGTATTTCTATAGCGTTGTCGTGTCCTTGTGTTAGAAAGAAATTGTACTCTCGATAGTTCTTGCACTCGGACTTATTTTGTCGCTTTATATATATGTACTGGGTGTCTCATAAATGAGTTTCTCAGTATTTCGACTATACATTTTTTTCTTCTCAACTTTTAGACCTGATTGTTTTTCTAAAAGGTGTGATATCAAATTCTCTACAACACGTGTATCAAATATTTTTCTGTAGTATGTTAAGGAAAAGAATTAAACAAAGAAAACACAACACGTATAAACGGATCAACTTTCAAAGTCGTTCTGTTTTATCAGCTTAAGAATAATTTAAACAACTCTCAAGACAACGAAACAAAAGTGAAGATGTTTCTGAGTACTCTGAAATGTGCTCTTTCTCTCCTTCATATAATTCATAGCTGGTACAAATCAAAGTAAACGTCGACAAATCGAATTTTTCAGAATCGCATTCAAAATCAGGCAAATCTTGTATGTTTGTTGCTAATTATGTCCGAACGAATGCCAACATAAAATGGAAAAGGATTCTCTCAGGTGGTAACTGCGAATTTTTTGAAAAAGAACCATTTTATAGATCAGTTGAATCCAGATTAATTTTGTAAAACCTGAGACGATTTTCAAACTAAAAATTTGATGGAGAATCAAGATTGATTTTTAGAAAATCATGTTTTCTAGAACTGTTAGTTTATTGCACGATTCTATCTGGTGGGATCCTGCCGCATAATCTATCGCTACTAGACCGTTGTTCGGTCAGATTTTAGCGGAAACAGGCTCGACTGAGATCAAATTCATCTAGGAATGGAGAACA